TATATATATATATATATATATATATAAATTTAAGTTTAACTTTCAGCAATCAAATGTTGATTGCCATAACGGGATATATGATTGAATTGGGCAAGCTCGAGTCTTAACAAGTTTCATTGGGCTATTAATATGCTTTCATGAATTGAAATGGCCCATAAGTTTAACCATTTGGGCTGAGACCCATTGGGCTCAGATATCTTTCTTTTTGAGGGCGAACGCTTGTACATCTTCAAATGCACAACTTTTCAATATCTCAAATATCGAGAACAAAAAAAAAAAATTAACACAAAATATATAAATATATAATTCCAATATTTATACATCATCGTCTTCTATATTTGAGAAATAATTATAAATATATCTCAGATTGATATTTTAAGAATTAATTATAAATTAAAATAAATTCAGAACCCGTAAATTTTAACGTATATGTAAATATTGAAGTTCAGGTGTTATTATGTAAATACATAAAAATTGAGTGGTATGCTTGTAAATATTCCTTACTTAAGACCTTGCTAAATTCATCAAGATTTTATGGTACCCGCCGCCGGTAGGGGTGTAAACAAACCGAACACGAACGAACACAGTTTGACAAAAACATTGCCAATAGGAATTACCTGGTTCAACTCCATTGAGAGTAGGGGTGTAAACAAATCGAACACGAAGGAACAGAGCTTGTGTTCGTGTTCGTGTTCGGTTCGTTTGAAATTTAATTTGTTTGAAATAAGCTCGTGTTTGAAATTGTCCGTTAAGTCACTGTTCGTGTTCGTTGGTTAACAAACAAGCCGAACACGAGCTGTTCGCGAACGACGAGCCAGTTTGACATCCCTAATATTAATATATATAAATAATATATTATATTAATTATATAACTCATATTATATAAATATATAATATCTATATTAATACATTACTAATATAGTATATTAATATATTATTATTATTATTTTATTATATATTATAATTTATAATATTTAATTTTTTAAAATATCATAAATTTTTTATATATAATTATTTTAAATTTTTTTATATTTCGAACAATAACGATTCGTACACGAACGAACGTATCACTGTTCGTGTTTGGTTCGTTTAACTAACTGAACGAAAAAAATTTGTTCACGTTCGTTCGTTTACTTATCGAACAAATCGAACACGAATTCATTGACGAATCGAACACGAACTGTTCGAGAACAACGAGCTTGTTTGACAGCCTTAGCCGCCGGTATCAATATATGTCTAATATATATCCTATAGTCTACTAATTAAAACTTGGATAAAAAGGTAAATATTACACTGAAACTAAATTATAATAGTTTTTTACCCCTGCAGCCCTCAGTGGTCAGAAAACGTGTTGTTGTCTAAATAATATTTGTTATACATAACGTTTTTATTTTGTTTTCTATGACCATAGACGGAGGTGGACCCAAGAATGATTCGCGAGGTGCAAAATTTTTAATTTTTACGTATATAAGAGGGCAATATGGTCATTTGCCTCTCAAAAAATATTATGTTTGTCCCTCATAAAATATCACTTTGTTTTTCTTTGTTTTAGCCTCTCCCACATTGCGTCTAGTTTGAGCAATAACTGTTGAGGAAAGACGATCTAACAATAATGACTAGATGAAGGTTATCAGGAGATGATGATCGAGAGATTTCAATTAGAGAATAATAATTCGATGATGTTTGGATACTTGTAGATAGACGATCTAACGATAATGGCTCGTTTGTCTTTCTCTTCTCAAGATGTTCAATTTGACGATATGATTGCAAGATTATACAATCATTTGACTATTTAATTGATATTCCAAAAATTACAATCATACTCAAATTACTTGGTGTATCAAAATATCACCAAACTAAGCATAAACTGTATACATAAAATAGTATATTATTTTGGTGTATCAAAATCCCCAAACTTAAATAATTATATAAATGTATAGGATTTGGTGGTATATATGTAAATATTTCTAAAATATAGGTCCTTTTTGGTGTTAGATCTGTAAATAATATGCATGTAAATTCTAAAAAAAATTTGAAGTTGTGAAAATCCAGGTATCTTTCGTCCCACATCAGGAATGAGGGATGTTGCTCTTAGAAATGCCTTATAAAATTCAAAAAATAAGCTCTTCAATGCAAATAATATAATTCGCCCACATTTAATAAGATTTATATATTCCAGAAAAGAATTAAAGAATAAAATTATAAAAATATTATAATTTTACATTGCATTTAATATTATTTTAACCAGATGTATTCTGCATGAAAAACGTGGGCCTTGTCTGGCCGGCCAATGCTGCGCTGCCAGTACAATGTCATGTTCCCCCTTTTGTTCGTTTTAGGACAAAGACCACAACCAATTCCAAGCCAAAACAAAAACTGCGAGCATGCCATATGACACTTGGAAGTAACAAGAAAGCATACTGATAATTGCAGCAGCCCGCCAAATTAACTCATCCAGGACAAATGAGAGAATAGAGATTCACTTTCATTATAGTATTAAGTTCTGTCCCCATGATATGTAAACTCAACCCAGCACGTAACATTAGTTGTGGGCAGGCGAGATGAGCAGTTGGCAGGGGTGGGCAACGGGCGACTGGCTGCAAGTGGTGTGAGCGGGCAACGGGTGGCATGCGGCGGGGTGCGGGCGACAACCC